TGCTGATGCAGTATGCGAGAGCAGCTTCCAGGGATGGAAACCGCTTTCGTGGCCAGACCCATCGGGCCACGACCAACACCGTCCATACACCCGACCGCCCTACTAAGGGACCGTGTTACCGGTGTGGGAAGACGGGTCACTACATGAAAGACTGCCACGAGAAAACGCCGCTGACGGGGAACGACAAGAAGGAGCATGGAAATGGGAAGAGTCCGTAATTAGCGGGCCCTTTACTGACTGTGCTCCGTCGCCCGAACCCCACCATCCCCACCGAGTAGTGGTTCCGATTCATGCAATCGATCGCACTCGGCCGAATAACGGGGATAATCATGTGGATCACCCTGTGCTGGTCGCTGGCAAGGTGTTAAAAAATAACTTGAAAATGTTCGTCGATGGAGGGGCCAGCCATAGCCTCTTCAACTCGGCGAGCGCAAAAAAATGCAAGCTGCAACTTGACATGTGTCTGCCGAAATTGACGCCCGCCTCGTGGATGGGACGCCTCTGGCGATAACGGGAAAACACGGACGATCAGGATCGAATGCGGCGACGATTTTGGCTTCAACAAAAATTTCCTCGCGACGACACTGGACGGCTGCGATGTGCTGCTGGGACGTGATTGGCTGCGATGGCACAACCCCGTCATCGACTGGACAACGGGATCGTGCAGCATCAACAGGCACGAGAGGCTAATTAAACTGCCTGCATGGACACCTGACTACATCCAAGCCCCGTGCGTCAAAGCTATCACTATAGCTCGCCACTTCAACAGGGGCGCGCAGCTGTTCGCTGTTTGCTTACGTGAGTTGGCAGTTGACACCGACGGAAAGGACATCGAGAAGCTGTGTGCAGCTATACCGCCGGATTTAGCGGAGCTGATTCGGAGGTACCTTGACATTTTCCCCGACGACCTGCCACCTGGACTGCCACCCGAGAGACCTGAGGACCACAAAATCCAGCTGAAACCTGGAGCACAACCGACTGTTCGGACACAGTGGCGGTTGACCCAGTCGGAACCCGAGGAGCTCCGAAGTCAAATTGACGCACTGTTGGAGAAAGGGTTCATTCGAGCCAGCACATCTCCCTTCGCAACACCGATCCTGTTCACCCTGAAGAAAGACGGCGGGCTTCGCATGTGCATCGACTATCGCGCGCTGAACCAGGTCACCATCAAGTCTCGCTACCCAGTCCCACAAACTGACAACCTCCTCGACCAACTTCGCGGCGCTCGCTATTTCTCAAAGATTGACTTACGTGGCGGTTACCACCAGATTCGAGTCTTCGCCGACGAGTGTCACAAGACTGCGTTTCGCACACGCTACGGGAGTTACGAATTTATTGTGATGCCTTTCGGCCTCACGAATGCGCCTTCGACATTTCAACTCACCATGAACAGGGTTTTCCGGGATCTTCTAGACCGATGTGTCATCGTCTACTTGGACGATATCCTGATTTTTAACAAGACACGGGAACAGCATCTCTGTGACCTCGACGCAGTATTTAAACGGTTGCAGGAGAACCGACTCATCACCAAGGGCTCTAAGTGCAAGTTTTTTAAGCAGGAGTTGGAGTTTTTGGGGCACGTCATCTCACGCGACGGTATCAAAATCGACTCGGCGAAAATCAAGACCATACAGGAGTGGAATTCCCCGACGAATGTCACGGAACTGCAGAGTTTTCTGGGGTTCGTGAAGTACGTCAGGTGGTTTATCCCGAATATGGCGGGGATAACCGGCCCGCTGACCGACCTGCTGCACAAGGATAGGAACTTTGTGTGGGGGGAGGAGGCAGAAGCGGCTTTCCACGAACTCAAGATTTTTCTCGTTCCCCCCCTGTGCTGCGCATCGCCGACCCATCGAAGCCGTTCGAAGTCGTAACCAGCGCCTCTGATTTCGCCATCGGAGCTGTGCTACTCCAAGATTTCGGGAACAGGCTGCAGCTGATAGCCTACGAATCACGCAAGCTGCAGGCAGCCGAACATAACTACCCGATTCACGACAAGGAGATGCTCGCCATTATTCACGCATTCAAACTGTGGCGCTGCTATCTAGTGGGCGCCGACGTCACTGTTCGCACGGACCACAAGTCCCTACAGTACCTGCGAGCCCAGCCCAACCTCAACCCGCGACAAATTCGGTGGCTGGACTACATGGAGAGCCACTTCACCTACTGCATCACGTACAAGAAAGGGGCAAATAGCATCGCTGACGCCCTGACCCGACCGACAGTACAATCCGCTGCAGTACTCATCACCCACTCGAACCCACTACTTACCGGACTATTCACCCACGGTTACACTACGGACCCATTCTTCATGACTGGAAATCATCAGCAGGCCACGACGCGGAAAGGGGATTATTACCTAAAGGCCTGAACCGACCGGATTTGGGTTCCCGCTTACAGGCTGTTGCGTGAACTCCTTATCCAGGAGGTCCACGATTCGAACTTCTCCGGACACTTCGGGGTTGATAAAACCCAGAAATTACTACACCGTCAATATTACTGGCCTGACTCCTCTAACAACGTGCAGCGATATGTGTCCTCATGCAGGGTGTGCCAAGCCATGAAATCGACACGTCAATGACCAGCTGGGCTGTTGCAACCCCTCGAGCCACCCGAACGACCGTGGCAGCAAGTGACAATGGATTTTGTCACGGGGATGCCAGCTGGGCCGTCTGGCAATGACGCTGTACTCGTCGTCGTCGATCGCTTCACAAAGATGGCGCACTTTGCCCCATGCCGAACAATAATCACAGCCGAAAAAACTGCGCGCCTCTTCATCTGAACGGTCGTGCGACTGCACGGGATCCCTTCAGCGATCATCAGCGACCGAGACGCGAAGTTCACATCGAAATTTTGGAAGGAGACATGGGCGCAGTACGGCACGAAGCTACAGTTCTCATCGGCATACCACCCACAGACGGACGGCCAGACCGAGAGGACCAATCAGACAATGGAGCAGCTGATCAAGACAAACTTCCCCGACCCTGCCTGCTGGGAAGAATTGCTCGCCATGTTGGAGTTCGCCTTCAACAACGCACCGTCCAGCACGACTAATCACTCCCCGTTTTTCCTGAATTACGGGATGGACCCGACGGTTCCTACAGCGACCACTATCGACAACCCGGTCCCAAGGTCACAAACCTTTGTGACGGAACTTCAGGAAGTCCGCAAGAAAGCAGCAGATGCAATTCGCAAGGCGAATATCACTTCTCGATAATACACCGACCTTCTACGACGGGAACTCGTCTTGACAGCTGGGCAACTAGTGCTCCTTGACACGAAGAACCTGCACCTACCCGGCCCGTCGAAACTATGGCCACGATTCTGTGGACCCTTCAAGATTATCAAGATGGTGGCACCTGTCACCGCGAAGCTGTTGCTACCCGACGACTGGCGCATTCATGACGCCTTCCACGTCAGCCTGCTTCGCAAGTTCGTACCAGCCACGACCGACATTGCGAGGCAACAAGCTGCCCCAACTGCACGACCTGTCCCGGAGCCGACTCTTGACCCTTCGAAGATTTTGGCAAACCGGGTTCGCCTTGACGCAGCTGGTCGCCACGTGGATTTCCTCATCCGTTGGACTAATCGTTCCAGCGAAGACGACACGTGGGTGCACCCCGACTCGCTGGACGCCTCGTCACTGGTTCGTGATTACTTGGCACGCTGGCGTGTTTCGGATATTGACCGCCTTTCTTAAGGGGGGGTTGTGTAAGGAATTTTTTCGAACTCCTTATCGGGTTTGACTGCTTCGCGTACAGCCCGATTTTCGCACTTTGCACGTTCGGCCGATTTCAACGCTGCCGAGGCTCCTCGCGTCACCTTCGGCATTTTCCCATCGCCAAACCTGCACCCAACCTCGCTCGTCCGAGGTTCTCTCCTAGCTAGGCTAGTCCCTACATTAGTCTATGCCTTCATTGTATTCTCAGATCATTCAATCACAGTCTCATTATTAGTTTACCTGCGCACTCTCTTTTACAACTCATAACAGATATCAGATCCGATATTCGCCACCACCTCGCCTGTTGGATCAGCCCGTGGACGACACGCTGACGGCGAGCGAGACCAGCAAAGAACGCGTCCGGTCCTCGTACGACCAAGTTTGCCGGCGACACAAACCGATTTCCGTCGCCGAGACGCGTTGGTAGGGCAAATACTGGTCCGCCAGACTAACAATAGTTACGTAGTCCGATTGAGAACTGTCGCGAAATATCGTTGTCGCTTGCGAACTATGACCGGCAAACCCTAGCCATTTTCTCCTCGTTGGATTAGGCATGCCAAACGCATTCACAGCAGCATTTGTTTCATTTGTGCAGTATCTCTCGCAGCAATAATGCGTGAAGTCCCCAAGTACTCTAATGTGCGCGAGCGCGCCCCTGGTACGAGGCGGAAGCCTTATCGCTCTGCGCCCCGTTGCGGAGCCTCAATTCCGCCTCATCCAACGGCAACGCTGGTCTTTCTTCCCGTCATGCTCCCGTCACTTTCTCCTTCGCGCTCCGTTGTCACGAAGGTCGCTCCTCTCTCACACCTTCCCTTCCCCTCCCCTCCGCCGGACGCTGTGCGGGGTCGGTCTCCCTCCGGACGCGCCTCACTGTCGGAAAATTTCCGCAAATCGCGGAAACGAAACGCATCACATTGCGCGAGTTCACAGCGCGAGCGTCAGCTTAGTCGAATTATAGGAACAATGGATCAATGTGCGCTTGGCCACTCAGTCTCAGCACTATCAACACCCCCTTCCGAGGCAGTAGAATCACATTCTCACGCCACTTCTCGCAGACTACGTGCTTTCGTCTCCTCCTCCTGGGCTCGCACATTTCGAGCTTCTGCCCTAATCTCGACGAGTCGACTCAACTAGTCCACTGCTGAGCACACGAGCGTGGTCCCTGCGGTTCGTCACCTGACTTGCAAGAAAGGCCGGAGCATTTCGCCTCTGCGCGCTGATCGTTGATCCCACCCGCCTCCCAGACTCCCTAGCCGTCACCCGCCTCCCTGATTCCCCGTCATCCGTCGTCATGAAGCGCTCCTCCGGGCGGCCCCGGTCTGCCGTTGCCGTTGGCGTTGGCAGTACTAGCGTGGGCGCATTCGTCGTGGGACTCGTTGCGCTCAGCCTCCTCACAACCCACGCCAGCGCTACTACCATCTGCCTTCCGGGCCCATCTGGCGAGGAGGAATGCTCGGAAGACCCCTTCGCTGGTGAGGCCTGGAGTGCGGGTGAGGCCTGGAGTGCGGGTGAGGCCTGGAGTGCGGGTGAGGCCTGGAGTGCGGGTGAGACCTGGAGTGTGGGTGAGACCTGTAATGTGGACGAGACTTGGAGTGTGGACGAGACTTGGAGTGTGGGTGGGAGTTGGAGTGTGTATGGGAGTTGGAGTGTGGGTGGGAGTTGGAGTGTGGGTGGAAGTTGGAGTGTGGGTGGGAGTTGGAGTGTGGGTGGGAGTTGGAGTGTGGGTGGGAGTTGGAGTGTGGGTGGGAGTTAAGACCTGGGTGACTTTATTGTAGGCTAGCTTGCAACATCTCCACTCCCACCTGCCCGCCTTCCCCCCCCCCCCAACCCCCCCCTCTCCCCCTCCCCCCCCTCCCCCCCTCCCAACTCAGAGAATCCCACCTGCAAGAGAGTCTGTCCGAGCGATTCCTACTGCATTGTGCTTGCTGACAACACATTCGGCTGCCAGTGCGTCACCGACGGTCTGACCTTCAGTGAAGCCGAACAGCAGTGCCATGGTGAGTGTGTGCTGGGCCACAGCGATCAAATGCACCCTCGCTCATAAGCAGTGGCATGGCAACCAGCTGGTAATAGCAGTGCACGCCACTCACCTTCTTGCTCTTGCCTTCCCCGCTCTTGCTTCCCATCCTCTGGCTTCTCACATACTTTCTTCCCTGGGTGACCGCAGGGGTGTGGGTGGGTGCTGGAGTGTGGGTAAGAGGTGGAGAGTGGGTGAGAGGTGGAGTGTGGGTGAGTTTATCATCGCTCGGCTGGCTAGCAAAATGACCATTTTGTACCCCATTTCCCTCCCTCTTTCCAGATCAAAACATCCCTACTCCTAATCAAAACCCCACTCCTTCCTGCAACAAAGTCTGCCTGAGCGATGCTACGTGCATTGTGCAACACGAGCAAGATGTGGTTTTTTACACCTGCGTATGCAATGCGGGTGGCCGTTTTTTCAGCGAGCTGGACCAAAAGTGCCATTCCGGTGAGAGCTGGGGAGGGGAGCTTTGTTCAAATGCACCCCTGAAAAGCAAGCTGATACGCAGTGGCACGGCATGAAAACCAACTGATGTTGGTCGTGCATCCCACCCACCTCCTTGCATCCCACCCACCTCCTTGCGTCCCACCCACCTCCTTGCGTCCCACCCACCTCCTTGCGTCCCACCCACCTCCTTGCGTCCCACCCACCTCCTTGCATCCCACCCACCTCCTTGCGTCCCACCCACCTCCTTGCGTCCCACCCACCTCCTTGCGTCCCACCCACCTCCTTGCGTCCCACCCACCTCCTTGCATCCCACCCACCTCCTTGCATCCCACCCACCTTCGTGCTTCCCCAGCTCTGGAGTGTGGGTGGGTGGGTGCTTTGAGACGGCTCAAAACCAAGCTAATAAGCAGTGGCATGGCATGACAACCAACTGGTGTTGGTCGTGCATCCCACCCACCTTCTTGCTTCCCCCACCCCGCTCTTGCTTCCCATCCTCTCACGTCTCACGGCATTCTTCTCACTGCTGGGGTGCTGAAGTGTGGGTTAATGCACACTACACGATCAGGTAGACTGTCTATTTCACAAACCTGTTTCCCCTTTCCACCTTTGAAGCATCACGGTTTCCCCTGCAGACATGTGCGCAGTAACGGATTGCGGCACCAGTGCTACTTGAGTCGACTCAAAAGTCATTCCTTTTCACCTTTGAACCATCACGGACGGTTTCCCCTGCCCCCTGCACTGCAGACATGTGCGAAGTAACGGATTGCGGCATGAGTGCTACTTGCTCTACGATTGATGGTGTTCCCACGTGCTCGTGCAAAGCTCAAGGTCACACCTTCAACGAACCAGACAAGACTTGCCATGGTGAGTGGAAGTGTGGGTGGGTGCTGGAGTGTGAGTTTGTTCTCAAAATTCGTTAAAATCGTCCATTTCACATCTTCGTTCCCCTATTCCACCTTGAAACCATCATGCATTCCCCTGCAGACGCGTGTTATCAAGTGGATTGCGGCAGCAGTGCTTCCTGCTCTTTGGCCGATGGCACTCCCAAGTGCTCGCGCAAAGCTACTGGCCACACCTTTAACGAAGCAGACAAGACTTGCAATGGTGAGTGGGAGTGTGGGTGGGTTCTGGAGTGTGGGTGGGTGTTGGATATGGGTGTGTTCTGAAGTGTGAGTTTGTTCTCACGATTAGTTTGAATCGTTTATTTCACCTCTCCGTTCCCCTATTTCACCTTGAAACCATCATGCATTCCCCTGCAGACGCGTGTTATCAAGTGGATTGCGGGAAAAGTGCTTCCTGCTTTGTGACAGCCGCTGGCACTCCCAAGTGCTCATGCAATGCTATTGGTGACACCTACAACGAAGCAGACAAGACTTGCCATGGTGAGTGGAAGTGTGGGTGGGTTCTGGAGTGTGGGTTGTGTTCTGGAGTGTGGGTAGGTGTTGGATATGGGTGGTGTTCTGAAGTGTGAGTTTGTTCTCAAAATTCGTTAAAATCGTTCATTTCACATCTCCGTTCCCCTATTTCACCTTGAAACCATCATGCATTCCCCTGCAAACGCGTGTTATCAAGTGGATTGCAGCAGCAGTACTTCCTGCTCTTTGGCCGATGGCACTCCCAAGTGCTCGTGCAAAGCTACTGGCCACACCTTTAACAAAGCAGACAAGACTTGCAATGGTGAGTGGGAGTGTGGGTGGGTTCTGGAGTGTGGGTTGGGTTCTGGAGTGTGGGTGGGTGTTGTATGGGCGTGTGCCGATGTGTGAGTTTGTTCTCACAATTGGGTAAAGATCATCCATTCACATCTCCGTTCTCCTTTTTCACCTTGAATCCATCATAAATTCCCCTGCAGATGCGTGTTATCAAGTGGATTGCGGGAAAAGTGCTTCCTGCTCTGTGACAGCCGCTGGCACTCCCAAGTGCTCGTGCAATGCTATTGGTCACACCTACAACAAAGCAGACAAGACGTGCAATGGTGAGTGGGAGTGTGGGTGGGTGCTGGAATGTGGGTGGGTGTTGGATATGGGTGTGTGCTGAAAGTCTATCGTCCATTTCACATCTCCGATCCCCTATTTCACCTCGAAACTATCTTGAATTCCCCTGCAGACGCGTGTTATCAAGTGGATTGTGGGAAAAGTGCTTCCTGCTCTGTGACAGCCGATGGCACTCCCAAGTGCTCGTGCAATGCTATTGGTCACACCTACAACGAAGCAGACAAGACTTGCAATGGTGAGTGGGAGTGTGGGTGGGTGCTGGAATGTGGGTGGGTGTTGGATATGGATGTGTGCTGAAAGTCTATCGTCCATTTCACATCTCCGATCCCCTATTTCACCTCGAAACTATCTTGAATTCCCCTGCAGACGCGTGTTATCAAGTGGATTGCGGGAAAAGTGCTTCCTGCTTTGTGACAGCCGCTGGCACTCCCAAGTGCTCGTGCAATGCTATTGGTCACACCTACAACGAAGCAGACAAGACTTGCAATGGTGAGTGGGAGTGTGGGTGGGTGCTGGAATGTGGGTGGGTGTTGGATATGGGTGTGTGCTGAAAGTCTATCGTCCATTTCACATCTCCGATCCCCTATTTCACCTCGAAACTATCTTGAATTCCCCTGCAGACGCGTGTTATCAAGTGGATTGCGGGAAAAGTGCTTCCTGCTCTGTGACAGCCGATGGCACTCCCAAGTGCTCGTGCAATGCTATTGGTCACACCTACAATGAAACAGACAAGACTTGCAATGGTGAGTGGGAGTGTGGGTGGGTGCTGGAATGTGGGTGGGTGTTGGATATGGGTGTGTGCTGAAAGTCTATCGTCCATTTCACATCTCCGATCCCCTATTTCACCTCGAAACTATCTTGAATTCCCCTGCAGACGCGTGTTATCAAGTGGATTGCGGGAAAAGTGCTTCCTGCTCTGTGACAGCCGATGGCACTCCCAAGTGCTCGTGCAATGCTATTGGTCACACCTACAACGAAACAGACAAGACTTGCAATGGTGAGTGGGAGTGTGGGTGGGTGCTGGAATGTGGGTGGGTGTTGGATATGGGTGTGTGCTGAAAGTCTATCGTCCATTTCACATCTCCGATCCCCTATTTCACCTCGAAACTATCTTGAATTCCCCTGCAGACGCGTGTTATCAAGTGGATTGCGGGAAAAGTGCTTCCTGCTTTGTGACAGCCGATGGCACTCCCAAGTGCTCATGCAATGCTATTGGTCACACCTACAACGAAACAGACAAGACTTGCAATGGTGAGTGGAAGTGAGGGTGGGTGCTGGAGTGTGGGTTAACCAAATTCTTCCCTAGACCCCGAAACCTAAACCCTAAACCCAAAACACTTGTTTTTCTCGAATCACCACTGATTCTCCTGCAGATGCGTGTTATCAAGTGGATTGTGGGGCAAGTGCGTCCTGCTCTCTGGGAGGCAATGGCACTGCCACGTGCTCATGCAATGTTGAAGGTTATATCTACAATGTAGCAAACAAGGCATGCGATGGTGAGTGGTGGAGTGTGTGTGGGTGCTGGGGTTTTTGTTGGTGAAGTATCAATAGGTGCTGAGAAGAAACCTTTTTCTTCCCTTGTTGATGGAGTGCTGTTCTTCATCATTACCCCCTGTTTGCTCATTCTGACTAAGTCACCAGTATGGGAGATACTAGGTAAAAAAAGGTGAGAAGCAAGCCTCTTCTTTGTCTCCCTATCCCCCCCTTATGGTCCCCTCCCTTACCCGTTTCCTTCTTTTGCCGGGGGTGTTTGTTCCTCTGTGGTGCCCACAACAGCCCTGTCTGTGGTGCCCACAACAGCCCCGTGTCCCAAAGATTGTGGAACTGCCAAGTGCGTTGTGGAGGAGGGGAAGGCCCAGTGCAAGTGCCCCTGGGGCCTCGAGTTCAATGAGGCTCAGAAGATCTGCGGCAATAAGACTATCAACCCTGGTAGGTCTAGTTTTGAGACGTCTCAAAAATAGAACTGTGGAACCTCGGAGTGCATTGTGAAGGAGGGCAAGGCCCAGTGCAAGCGCCCCTGGGGCCTCGTGTTCAAAGAAACAGATATTTCTGCAGCACTGCGTTTTATACTGCTAGTGGGTGTCCTTGTCTCTTACTGCCGGTAGGTGTCCTTGTCTCTTACTGCCGGTAGGTGTCCTTGTCTCTTGTTGCATGCTTGCCAACAAACACAGAGTTACATATGTGCTGTGCAAGTGACTCTGAGAAATGCAGCCTGAAAGTGAACTGCCCTTAGACGTTCAGTCAAGCTAACGCTGAATCCCTCCCTTCTCCACCAATAGCAGCGGCAGACCCGTGTAAGACGGGCACACTCAAGTGTGGCAAGAACTCAAAGTGCGTTGTGAAGAATGGGCGGGGGAGTTGCGCCTGTAATGCCGGCTACACCAAGACAAGTGGCCTCTGCACTGGTGAGCTCCACATGTGCAGGTGACCAAGAGGTTAAGAGGCAATACAGCCTTTAGCGACAGTGCACGGGATCACAGTGCTTCTGAGAGTTCTCAAAAATACTGTAAAGGAGATCACAGTGCTTCATGCGAGTCGATCTTGACTTCCTGTGGGGGTTCGGTGGCATTCTCATGCCACTCTTTTGAGGCGCCTCAAAATTCATTCTCATGCCACTCTTTTGAGGCGCCTCAGAAGTCATTCTCATGCCACTCCTCCTTCCATCCTCTCCACTCGCCTCGTATTTCTCCACTGCTGTCCTGTCTCACCCAGCCTCATGCTCTTTCCCCCTTACCTCATCTCCCATCTCCCACCCACGCCAGCCATGTGCAAGCCTGCTTGCTGTGTGAATGCCCAGTGCATAGTGAAGGGAGGAAAGCCGGTGTGTCGGTGCAAAAAAGGCTTCAAAATGGAGAAGAACGAGTGCACACGTATGTGAGAGGGGAGGGGTTTCTTTCCGTGCACACCAGTTTGACGTATCCCACCACCTCCACCTCCCACAAGCACCCATCTCCACCTCCCACATGCACCCATCTCCACCTCCCACATGCACCCATCTCCACCTCCCACATGCACCCATCTCCACCTCCCACATGCACCCATCTCCACCTCCCACATGCACCCATCTCCACCTCCCACATGCACCCATCTCCACCTCCCACATGCACCCATCTCCACCTCCCACATGCACCCATCTCCACCTCCCACATGCACCCATCTCCACCTCCCACATGCACCCATCTCCACCTCCCACATGCACCCATCTCCTCCTCCCACACGCACCCATCTCCACCTCTCACATGCACCCATCTCCACCTCCCACACGCACCCATCTCCACCTCCCACATGCACCCATCTCCACCTCTCACATGCATCCATCTCCACCTCCCACATGCACCCATCTCCACCTCTCACATGCACCCATCTCCACCTCCCACACGCACCCATCTCCACCTCCCACATGCACCCATCTCCACCTCCCACATGCACCCATGAGCATCCGCATGACATCCGTGCCATCTACTCTCACTGTTTGCCCCTCAACTGCTTCTAAATCAATTCTTCAAGCTCTCCCTTCACTTGCACCCCTCCACGCACCTCCTGTGGCAGCCGTATGCAACACTGCCTGCCCTGCTAATCTAGTTTTGAGGCGCCTTAAAATTAAACTGTTCTTCATTCACCTGCACGGTGCACTCCCCTCCCATCCACCCACCTCATGTGGCAGCCATATGCAACAATGCCTGCCCTGTGCAACCCTCCCCCCCCTCCCCCCCCCGCCCCACCCCCGCCCACCTCCTGTGGCAGCCGTATGCTATCCCGCCTGTCCTGCTAATGCGGAGTGCAAGGTGGTGAAAGGGAATCCGGCATGTCAGTGCAAGGCGGGGTTCCGGATGGCAAATAACAACAAGTGCACGCGTAAGGGACAGTCACCTCCACCACCACAACCCCTGCTTCTAAGCTAGTACACCCATGAGCTACATGGCTGTTGCATTTACGCCATCTAAAATTGCTGCATACGCTCATCTCTTCCTCGCTCATCTTTTAACATTCTTCCCATCGAACTTTCCCAATCACATGTGGCAGCCATATGCAAGGGTGGCTACCCTGCCAATGCGCAGTGCAAGGTGGTGGGAGGAAAGGCGGCATGTCAGTGCAAGGCGGGATTTCAAAGGGATTATAACAACAAGTGCACTTGTAAGGGACAGAAAGGGGAGAGGGAGAGGGAAAGGCAGAGGGAGAGGGAGAGACAGAGGAAGAGGTAGAGGGTATTTTGCCTTCCCTGTTGCTTTATCATTTGCTTTTATCATCTTCCATCTCATGTCACTTCCCTCGCATTGGCTCATGTCCTACGTTGTGGCTTGCCCTTCCGTTCGCCCTCTCGGTGCACCTCAGAGAGCTAATCATGTTCACCACAAAGAAGTTGGAGGACAAGGGAAGAAGGCATGAGATCGGACAGGGCTGGTTGCAGAGGTGTGCAACTGCACATGGTTGTTTGAAGACCAGTACCAATTTCGCTCACAGTGGCTGAATAATTTCAGTGTATGCATTTGGGTTGATACTACATGTTTGGTTGGCTTTTTGTACCAAATAGTGTGACTCTAATAACTCTAGAAGGATACTGGGCTGCACCTGACCTAGTATTTTGTGTGCTACTGTAGATTTCTTTTTCTGCGTTTCTCCATTGAGTCTTGATCGTCTACACATGTTTTCATGTGTAAAAGCAAAGCTTAATCATGTATACTGCATCGTCTCCTCCGCAAAGATGCTCCGCGCCTTACATCCGCCATGGATTCTGCCAGATCCGAACCGCGCAATGTCCTCGCTAGAGGGCCTCAATCCACTTTCTTTCTACACCATTAGGTTCGTCAGTAACTCAGCTGTCGGGAGACCTGTCATTTATGCTGACATTGGCTCGCCGTGTTACAAGGCAACCTTTCATGGAGTTGATCAGGCACCCTCGGGATCGCCATGGCTCGGTCTATCATCCAGGCTGGAAACTGACATCTGCAGTTTTATTATTATCAAGTCTATTACAAGCTATGATCCTGAGGCTTCTACATCGGTTTCACATCACCAACTCCAAGAACGACTGGACCCAGAAAGAAGCTCAACAATATTTAACCTATTCGTGCTCAGCTTCATGGCAAATCACTTCATTACTCCCAGTCTTGGCTTTCATCACAGCATTTTTCTGCCTAGACTTCATCATCGCACGATGATGTCAAGAACGAAAGTGTTGGTTCATTGATGTGGGTTGGGGTACATATCACAGACCCTAACATCTGTACCCCCTAAGACAAACCTCACTACAGGCTACAACATTTGACACACCCCCATAGCCTAAGTGAGGGGTGTCAAGCAAAACCAAAAGTGTATGGTCACAAGACCAGTCACAAAGAAACAAAGCTCAGGGTGGATCACAACGTCACCACACACTCTGAGCACAAGCAACAGGGGCCACAAGGCCAGTTCGAGAGTTCACAAGTATGTATAGTAAGAGTACAAGCAAAGCAAACAGTGGACTCAAGCCTATACACGACTAGAAACGGTGTCAACAAGGCCTAACTGCACACAACACCTCTGGTGGTCACAAGGTGGAAGCGCCTTGGTGAAGATGTCTGCAGTGTTGGCATCGGACTCCACAAACTCGAAGCGAGCCTGTCCACGTCTTTGCAACTCTCGCAGAAGAAAGTACCTGACGTTAATGTGCTTCACTCTGCTCTCCAGTCGCGGCTCTCGACAAAGGAGAATCGACGCCTTGTTGTCAGTGAACAAGGTCGGTGCAGAGCTCGGCCGCTCACCAAGGTCGGCGAGCAAGAAGGTCAACCAACGCAGCTCCTGTGCCGCCATGGCACCAGCATAGATCTCAGCCTCAGCTGTAGAGGTCGAGACCGAAGAGGAGCGCGTGGACCGCCACGAAACAGCTCCAGAACCCAAACTGAAAAAGCACCCCTGAGTAGACCTATGAGTCACAGCGTCGTCAGCGTAAGAAGAGTCACAGTGACCAGTAAGTACGCCAGGCTGTTGCCCTCCAAGAACTAGCCCCACTCCCGATGTCGTCGCTAGGTACTTCGCCACCCTCACAGCTGCCATCCAGTGAACAGGACGGTGTCCCTGGCGCAACAAAGCGAGCAAGGATGCTGAGAGGGAAGGCGAGGTCCGGGCGAGTGCAAGTCATCAGGTACATGAGACAGCCCACCAGCTCTGCGTAGGGACCACTAGACTCAAACGGCTCGTCAGGAAAGGGTCCAGTAAGTCTGTGGTCAACAGCAAGAGGTGTGCGCTGTACTGTGGAGTGCTGAAGCTCGAACCGCTGAAGGACCTGCTGCACCATGTGTGACTGTGAGAGTGTAATGGTGCGAGCAGCTCTATCCCTGGTAATCTGCAGACCAAGGTAGTGGCGCAGCTCACCAAGGTCAGTGCACGTGTGTCTCTTCTGCAGTTCGGACTTCACGTCTGCCAAGGCAACCCTGTCAGTAGTGGCGAAAACCAGGTCGTCGACGTAGACCAGAACAAAGAACGGTGTGGAGCCACGACGAACGAACAGCGACGGGTCGGCAGAAGACTGCTGGAACCCAAGGTCAGAGAGGGTGGAACGAAGAGTGTTGTGCCACTCACAAGGAGCCTGACGAAGACCGTAGACAGGTCGCCTCAGCCTCCAGTGGGTCCCAGGAGGGAAAGTGCCAGTGAAGGCAGAGGGACGACGCAGCCAGACCTCCTCGTGTAAGCTACCCTGAAGGAAAGCAGTGGAGAATTCGAGAGAGTGTAACTCGTAGTCTCTCTGTGCTGCTACGTGTAGTAACACCCGAAGAGTGGTCATCTTCGGGGTAGGCGCGAAGGTCTGAAAGAAGTCAACTCCCTCGCGCTGACTGAAACCTCTAGCCACGTAGCGCGCCTTGAAGACCGGAGGAGATCCCGGTGGCCGCTTCACCCTGTAGATCCACATGCCATCGACTACGTTCGCCCCAAGGGGGGGAACCTCGTCGGCGTAGGTGCCTGTGGATCTGTAGGAGGCCATCTCTGCGTCCATGGCAGCTATCCACTGAGAGGCCCAAGGCCCTGACAGTGCCTCAGCGTAAGTGCGAGGAGTCGGTATGTCAAGGGCGTCGGGGTCTCCCTCAGGGGCGAGCAGCATGGCACAGAGATGTGGGGAAGCGGCTGCCAGGAACTCTAGCTCAAACTGCCTGTCCTCTAGGACGTCATAGCCAAGGGCAGACTCACCCACGACGGCCAGAGGACTGGTAGGAGGAGTAGCCACAAGACCAGTGGCGTAGTCAAGGCAGTGAGTGGAGGCAAACTCAGTGACTGCGGCAGTAAGGGCGGAGACAGAGGAGACAGAGGCACGAGGGTTGGTAACAAGAGAGCGAGAACACGAGAGAGAACAGGACGGTACGTGCGATAGTAGTCAGTGACAGGAGTAGAGAGAGAAGCAGTGAAGGCCGACTCAGGAGGAGACGGAAGGAGAGACGGAGACGAACGAGACGGACTAGAACGAAAGAGGGCAGTACGAAGGTCAGTAACGAGAACAGGAGACGAGGGACGAGCACGAGGGGGGCGACAAGAGGCCCAAGTCTGAGAAGGAGGAGGGGACAACGGAGGCTGAGAACAAGGGAAAACAGCCGAGGAGGGGTCAGGAGGAGGAAGCGGCCCGAGACGGGAGGAGAGGGGGAGGAGGAAGGAGAGCGAGAGGGGAGACCGAGGGCCCGAAGACCAGAGACAGGAGGAGGAGGCGGCGGCTGCTGCTGCTGCTGCTGCGGCGGCTGCTGCTCCTCCTGCTGCTGCAGCGGCTCCAGCGGCTGCGCCTCCTGCTGCTGCGGCGGCTCCAGCTGCGGCTGCTGCAGCTGCTCCTGCTGCTGCTGCTGCTGCTCCTCAAGCCGCTGCAACTCCCTCTCATCTCTCTCCAACTCCAGCTGCTCCTTATGGGCACGGCAAACACAAGCCTGGTGCCGGGTCGGGTAGGGGTGGGGGGGAGGAGTAGTGTCGGGGGCTGCGGCAGCCCCGGGACCGCCCTCCAAAGCACCTGGCGCACCACCCCCAGAGTCAGCACCACCAACAGCAACACGACCAGGCTCACCAAGACCCGAAGAGGGTGCACCCGCACCCCCAGACGTAGCACCCCCAAAGTCAGCAGGACCAACACCAGCTCCCGGAAGACAAGAGTCTCCTGCAACCACGGGCTCAGCTCCAACTCCAGCACCCCCAGAGCTAGCACCTGTAGGGCCCTCTCCACGAGCACCGGCTCCCGCAGGGTCTGCCGCGGGCTGCGAGGAGGACTGCGGGGAAGGAGGCTGCACCTGAGGGGCTACCGAGGGGGGAGGGGTAGCCTGGGACACACCTGACGGGGCGGGTCCAGGGGGGGAGGCTGTACCCGGGGAGCAGGAGGGGGAGCGGAAGTCAGGAAGAGAGAGGGAGGAGGAACCGGGAGACATCGACTTGGGTACCTGACGTAGTAGGGGGTGGACTCCTCGAAACGGACGTCACGGGAGACAAAGAACCGGTGAGAGGGAGGGTGGTAAAAG